CGCGCCGCCCCCCCCCCCGCACTCCCGCCGGCTCCCTCCTGGCGTCCTGGTCCCGCCGCCGTGCTCCGGGCGCCCTGCTCCCGCCACCCCGGTCCCACCTCCCCCGGTCCCACCTCCCCGGTCGCGCCGCCCCAGTCCCGCTCCATATTCATATTCAGGTATATATATATATATATTTTTTTTTTCCTTAACAATATTGTTTTTTTTTTCTTAAGCATTATACTTGTTATTATAACTAGATTATACTTTTTGTCGTCGTAAAAATTTCTTTTTCTTTTTCTTGTAGTGAACATTGTAAGCATATTGCAACAGAAGCACCCTAATCTGAGATGATAAGGATCAGCAAAACAATGGAAAAAGATGAAAAGATAAATATGCTTTTGTTGCAACGGGTCGTTAAAATTTCACAAATTACAAAAACGAAGAGTTTGGTAAGGTTAGATTAAAATGATAAAATATAGATCAATTAGTTTGAGAGTAAAACACACAATGTATTTCTGCTCTTACACTAATCGATTTACTCAAGAGTTTTTTCTTTTCTTTTGTTTTTGTCCTCGACAACAACTAGAGGGAGACTTAACATAACCCTTACCCTGCTTCTTGTCACCGGCTCCATCCAATCAGAAACATTTTAAATCCAAATTCTTTTAATTTTCGTATTTGGTGGGAAACCGTCAAAGGATAGAATCGTAAGTAAGGGTGACAATTTATGTTAGTGTGTCATGTTCATATCAACCCGTTTATTAATCGTGTTAAAAAATATCCAGTCAAACACGACTTATTTATTAAACGTGTTAAAAATATCAACCCAAACACGATCCATTTATTAATCATGTAAATCGTGTCAACTCGTATATCCCGTTTAAATTAGTATATTGAATATATAACTAATATAATCTTGACTTATTTAGCGTGATTAAGACATGTTTAATATATTTATTAATGAATTTATCTTTTCTTTTAAGAAAAATAAATGAATTTTACCTATAAATATTAAAATTCACATTATTTATATATAATATGTCATAAAACTTTCATGTTATATCACATATCATTAGATTATAAATAATACATAGTTAATAGTGTCAATTCGTGTTAAAATGTCAACTCTAACCCAACTTATTTATTAATCGTGTTAATCATATCAACCCAATTATGAAGTCTCAGACTTTTACAAATCAGTAAATGCATTTAATCCTCAGTAAAGCAGACACAATACCTCACTTGAGAGAAAATTGCTTATTCTTTATATATGCATCTCAGAAGTTCACGTGTCTTCATTCGGTTTTCCACGAAGATAGTGGTGGGAGTATCAGCTTCTCTCCAGGTACTTGAGGCTCCACCATACCTGTCACCCTTTACAGCATCTGCCGATGCAAAAGATTCAAGCTCAGCCATTTCTTCTGGTGTTAGTTTCACGGATAGGGCTCCAATATTCTGGTTAAATTTCTCAATTTTGGTGGTTCCAGGGATGGGACAAACATCATCTCCTTGGTGATGAACCCAGGCCAAAGCTAGCTGTGCAGGAGTGCGTCCTTTTCTGGCTGCTATTTCATTTAGCCTCTCAAATATTGTTTTGTTATGCTCAAGGTTTTTTCCTTGAAACCTGGGCAGTTTCTGCAATCGGAAGTAAGCTCGTTC